CCTAGCCAGCCTTCCCCACTCCGGGATGGCAAGTCCCAAAATGGGGATTCCCCCAAGGGAGAACTCATTTTAGGTGATGTGCCCACCCCGCGTTGAGTAAAGTAAAGGAAGAAAAGTGATTATTTTTCATTGAATATTCCTATAACATAACGTTTAGTCTGTGTCAGTCCCTGAACGATCGTTTTCGTTCTTTGAACCCTCCCACCAACACTAAAAGGGAAATACTCCTATAAATTCATTTTTCTAATGGGAAAGCTAAGGAACAAGGAGTTTAAGTAAGGTGCCCAAGGTTATAGAGCTAGGATGTGGTGCCACTGGATCTGAATTGTCAGCTTCCCAAGGAAAGAAGGTCGAGGACAAAGATTTCTTTGGGGTCAGGTTTGTCTTCAACACATGTACTGCTGCTTGAAATTTTTTAAACAGGGCAAGTTTCAAGCTCAACCCTGAATAGCTTGAGAAGTAATGAAGAAGAGAAATATATATGTAAAGAGAGAGGAAGAGAGTATTATATATACGAAGTAATCTATGTCTGGAAGTTAGACTGCTTTTCAATTTCAGTAGAGAAGAATTTCATATATTTAACTTAAATATATGAGGTAGGTAATTTTACGTGTCAGCTTGGCTAGGCTATGGTGCCCAGTTCCTTGCTCAAATACCAGTGTAGGTGTTGCTACGATGTCATTTTTTAGATGTAATTAACATTTAAATCAGTAGACTTTGAGTAAAGCAGATTACTGTCCACAATAGTGGTGGGCCTCATTCAATTAATGGAAGGGTTTAAGAGAAAAGACTGAGGTTCCCCCCAAAAGGTAGGCATTCTGCTTCCAGACTCAAGTCTGGAACATCAACTGCCAGAATTTCCAGCTTGCTGGCCAACCCTCCAAACATCAGACTTGATAATCATGTGAACTAATTCCTTAAAATTAATTTCCTCTCTGTCTCTCTCTCTGTCTCTCTTTCTGTCTCATCCACACCCAGACACACACACACATACATCCTCTTGGTTCTGTTTCTCAGGCAATAATACAGATGTTGGTACTCAGAGTAGTTCTGGAGGAACAGAATATTAAAAATGAGTTTTCTTAATTGGTTCTGGTGTTTTTGGAATTGGCTCTCTAATCTGATTATATGTGAAATCACTAATGACTCTATCCCCGATAGTAAAGAGGCATTGGTAGGTAGTTCATGTTGTGATGCAACACGAGATATACAAAATATCACCACTGAGGGGCTAGCCCGTGGCTCACTTGGGAGAATGTGGTGCTGATAACACCAAGGCCGTGGGTTCAGATACCCATATAGGGATGGCCAGTTAGCTCACTTGGGAGACTGTGGTCCTGATAACACCAAGTCAAGGGTTAAGATCCCCTTACTGGTCATCTTATTTAAAAAAAAAAAAAAATCACCACTGGTTATGCTTAATCAAATACTTAAAAGAAGCAAGGTGCTGGGTGGCCATGTATCTGATAATCTAGAATGGTTTTGTCAAACTAATGAGTATGATGAAATTGCCTGATCGCTCCTAAATGTGCTGGATAAAGTGGGAAAGAAAAGGATGAGCTGAGGGATTCAAAATCCAAGCTGAAGCACCTCATAAACCATCTGAAAGTTTCTGTCTGCCCTGAAAGAAACCCTCATCTACTGCAAGCACAGAGCTGAGATTGCTGAAAACCAAGCTCAGGGTCTCATCCTGTGTGTGGCTGTATTGCAATGCAAACTGAATTCCCAGCTTCTCGGGGCGTCTGCTGTTAAAGCGAGGCAATTGATTGGGAAGGAATGGAATCCTGAAAATTGAATGTGTGCATATGGGAAGACCCTGATGAAACTGAGAACATTGAATCCCTAAATTCTGTTCAGTCTTTTTTGCCAGTAGAAGCAGCCGTTCTACCCCCACCTGAAGAGCTTAACCCTGCTCTGCCTGAGGAAAGTGTAATGGCCTCCCCTGAGACAGTTGTTTTGCAAGA